GGAAGGGAAGGGAAGGGAAGGGAAGGGACCCCCCTGGAGACTCACCTCTTCTTCTTGGTTATGATGAGGACGTCGTTGAACGAGAAGAGGTAGCAGAGCCTGCCGGTGCCCCGTCGGAAGATGCCGGCCTCTTCTGAGAGCAGCAGGTACAGCTCCCCCCGCTTCAGCAGCCAGCGGGAAGCGGAAATCAGCGGGAATGGCTGAAAGGGATCCAGGGAAAGCCTGACTGACAACCTGTCACAAGGGCAAACCTTCCTGGAAGAATTCCCAGCACAGGTCCCTCACGCCTGGGACGGGCCCCTCTAACAGCACAACCCAGATTTCCCACCACCGCTTCCACAAGACCTCACCTTCTTCTTCCCAAATTCCAGCTGTTTCTGCAGGGTGTACATCTGCTCCGTCCTCTCCATGGCACGAGCACCTTCATTGCAGTTCTTAACCAGCTAGAAACAGAACACCACCACAAGGGTCATCCTTCACACCAGCACTGCTGAAGGGTCGGGTGCTGCCCTGCCTACCCAGGCAGGAGAAACAGCCAAGCCCCAACACAGGGTTCAAGCCAGGCTTGGGGAAAGGCAGCTGGAGGTTCTCCTGCCATGAGATCTCTAGGAGAGAGATGACACATTTGCTCAGCCGGGAGAAGGACCAAAGCAAAACCGCACCAAAACTGAGCTTCACCGAGGAGTGATATGAAAAGGAAGAATTAATCATCCAAAGAAAGGGGGTTAAGAGAGGAGGATGAACCATCAGACCGATGGAGGGGAGGACAGAAGGTGAAGCATCACCACCATTCACACACCACACACAGTGTCCTGGCCCTCACGGGGCCAGTGAGGAAAAAGGATGGACCAGAGAGGAAAGATGATGAGAAGAAAAAGGAGAAAACCAAGATCAGGTGAAAAAGGGAGAAGATGTGAACATCCAGCAGCTACTGGAGCAGGGAAATCTCAACCGAACTGATGCAGGGGGGAAAACCAAGGCAGGCTCGGGGCCGTGATGGAACAGGGCGCTGAGAGGAGTAAAGGTGGAGAGATGGCAGCCAGGCCTCACCTTGCTGATGGCTTTCAGAGCTCTGGTGGCAGCTCCATACGCTGCAGTGCTTGCCTTTGTTTTTTGACAGACAGTCTAGAATTTCAAGATAAGATGCTTTAGTGACACTGCAAGACGGGACCTGCACATCAGCTGCTTCCCTGGGATGGCAGGATGTGGCACACGCTCGAGCTGTTCCCGGTGCTCAGCAAACTGAAGAAGGGTGTAACACAGTCACCTCTTCAGAGGTGCCAAGCAGTGCCACCGTGTGACTTACTTACATCTAACAGCAGAGGAAGCCGTGTTACCCTCTGCATAGGGAGAATGAGAAATGAGATCATTGGCAGGCCTCCACATTCTGGTTTCCTTTCAATTTGTCTCAAGGTCTCTTTAAATAAGGGGTTTGTGGCTCTGGAACAGGAGAAGAAAGCTCCATTAGCTCCGTTCTTCAACCTCCTTGTTAAGGTTTTCCAGCAGCTTTCCATGCAGGAGCAATGCAGCACGATGAGGGCACTGCCCTGGTGCTCAGCAGCAGCCACCCGAGCTCCAAGTGGAGAATGGACTGACCCATGAGCAGATGTTGGACAAGAACCTAGAGATGCCGGGTCCACCAAAAGGCAAGTAAAGCCATAGATGTATGGCTTTGAGCAGACACAAAATTGACCTGTACCACCAGTATGATCCGGAGATGAAGAGCCTCTATGCGTGTCCTAATGTACCACATAGGTACACTTATAGACACTTATAGTGCCCCCATTTATCCCCATCCTTCTTACAGCACAACACAAATCACATCCCGATCACCTGACAACACACGAAGGTCTAGCAGTTGAATTCTGCTCAGAAAGGAGGCAGCCTTCCTTAGGGAAAAGGAAGAAAACACAGCTGAGGGAGCCACATTTAGGTCCCAGTCCCATCTGCAGCCCGGTAGCATCCCTGCAGCCCAGAGACCACATGGAGGAAACCCATTGCAAGCCCGAGCACGCAGCAGTACTCACAGCAGCCTCTGAAGTGTCCTCTGCTGGTAGACCTCGTTGGAGCAGTAGCTGATGTAGGGACCGAAGTGGTTCGAGGCGTGTTCTTCCACTATGTCACTGATGTCAGGAATCAGGAGGTGTTCCTGGTAACGCTTCTCCAAGTCTTCGAAGAACCTGAGAAGAGAATTGTAACTAACTTCACTAAATGACCTGTTAGGGCTGGGCAAACCAATGTATGCTTATCAATGTTCCCATCTCCCCGGTTTTCCCAGAGGGACAAGGCTCCGGATCCCTGTGGCACAGGCCAGCTCCACTTGCCTCGTGCTGATTGCCAGGATGTCGCTGATGTTGGAGAAGAGGTGGTGGTGCTCCGTCTGGGTCATGGTCTCCTTCAGCTCCTCTGACCTCATGAAGTGGCACACCAGGACGCTCAGGCTGTGCATGTAGGAGTACTCAGAGGTGATGATCTCGAACATCGCCTGAAAGAAAGGGGGGCAGTGAAGATGCGACAGCACAAACCATCTAAACATGGCACTGAATTAAAACTTACTGCATCATATTTACATTCACTTGGCATGAAGCCACTGGAAATGCTTTGCTCCAACACCATTCCCTGTATCATCTCCTGCATTGACTGGCCTACACCAGTAACTTCAGCACGTTTAGGACACTTGGTCATTAATGATCTACAGCACTAAGATGTTTTCCCTTCCAGTGGCTACTTCCCATCAGCATCCAACAGAGTTGCCTCATCCCCACCAAGACGAGCAGGTGAGTGCTCCCAGTGCTGCCCAGTTCCAGAGGTACCAGCACCACGGATCCTGTAACGCAGGAGCTGAAGCCCTGCTTGGATCTGAACCCTGCACGAGGGGGCTCGGACTCAGCCTCACGCATCCCACCGGTGTTGACGCTGCACTGCTGGGCACAGCCGAGGCTCCTCTCACCTCCTGCCGCTTGCGCTCCTCAGGGGAGATCTTTTGCAGGATGCCCGCTTCCAGCACCTGCGGGGGGAAAGGCGGGATGAGCAGCGAGGCCGGGAGGAGCAGACCCTTCACCACCGAGCCGTGGTCCTTGCACGCCCTCTAGTGCGGTCTGAGGCTCTGCCCAGCCCCGCACGACCCGCAGCATCGTCCACCGCAGTTACAGCTGCTGCTGCTCTGCAGGACAGTCACAGACTGGTTTGGGTTGGAAGGGACCTTACAGCTCATCCAGCCCCAACCCCTGCCACGGGCAGGGACACCTTCCACTAGAGCAAGTTGCTCTACGTCCCTGTGTCCACCCTGGCCTTGGAGGCCTGGCACCCGGCCAGGGATGGGGCAGCCACAGCTTCTCTGGGCACCCTGTTCCTCAGGTGCCTGCAGCAGAACCTTTCTTCCCCCTCTCACAAGCACAACCGCAGCAGCTCCACCAGCATCCCAACAAGCCTGGACAGGATCCTGCGTGTCCCAGCCAGGGCTGGACAGCCCCAGGACATCCCATTGCAAAGACTAATGCTGCAGAACCATCCACTCACAGCTTGTTTGAGAGCTTTTAAACACACACACCACGAGCAGAGCCCTACCTCCGGGAGCTGGCTCCAAGTCACTTGTGCCGGGCGATAGCTCTGCACCACGATAGCAGCACCCGCAGGGGATGGCTCCTCGGGGATGGATTCCTCCAGCAAATCCTCATCTGACTCATGGTTCACGGAGTTCAGGCCCCTCTCCCGGATTTCCTGGTACAGCCGCGGCTCTGCACAAGAAGAGGCACAAGGTCAGCGAAGCCTCTCCCAGCCCGCAGCCTCCATTACCACCACCGCTCGCCACGAGCCACCC